AACATTGTAAATTTTGGTCAGATGTGGATGTGGTTTCTGGAGAACACTTGCAAGTGAATGCAGTTTGATTTGAGTTTCAACAGATGATTGAAACAGTTGAGATTGATATGTAAATGGTGTTGATTCGAAAAATCGGCTGCAATGTGATGTCTGAAGGTAAAAGAGAACAAAAATCATTTGTAATTGCAACTTACAGACGAAATTAGGGCTGTTCTATGGGGTGTGGCGCCACCCTAAATTAATATGTTTTGATTTGATTTGATTTGGATTTAAGGTTTCCCTTTCTCGATTTTGGTTACTGGCATTACAGGTGTAAAGGCCTCTAAATATTAATAAAAAATCTCCTCGATATGGTAACTTCCGTCCTAGTTCATCAACAATTCTTGATCCGACACTCCTACGTTTCATAACTTATAATCCTTGAAGCACTTCCAAATATGCTGTAATTCCTCCTCTCCACTCTAAAATATATTTTGCATTTAAAATGCTAATTAATTTAGCCATTCCGTGACGATAATTATTTGCATGTTCATATATGACATTAAATTTGAGTAATTAATCGCTCGTTACGACAATCGCCCTATATGATAACACTTGGCAAATGGTCATTTGATGCGTTAATGAAGTAAATTTTTATTGACGCATACATCAAATAATTATATATCACATAGGACAACTGTTGTAATGAGTGAATGCAAATAACATTATTTTTAAAAGAGAAAAGCAATATGTACATGTTCATAGAACCCCACTGACAACTAACACATAGGGTAGGTAATTTTTATACTTTTTTATTGAGGTATGGGACCCACCTTATGTGAGACCCCTATCCATGGAGATTAATTCTTCTTTAAAATAGGGGTCGTGGATACATACCTCGACGTGTGGGGGTCGATCGGGTCTAACAAAGGCTTCAACCTCGGCGGCTTTTTCCACATTTCTCTTGAAGAATTCGTATTTTGACTGCATAATATTACTTTAAATTACAGACACATATTTCAAGGTACTAGCTGGATGTGTGGTTCTAAAAATAAACTCATATTGATTACCTTGATATTTTCTTCCTCGGCCTTGAACTCTTCATTCCAAACAAGCCTTTCATCATCGCCCAAAGATGAAAAATAAGCTTCTGGACATCTAGTCTTGATTTCATATTTCCTACAAAATGGAATCCATGACCTGCCAAATTCACTAGCCTCCTTCATAGCGTACAGTGTCACGGCGGCGCCACCATCATCGGAAAGGTAAACCGCCAGTTTCTCCGCCGGATAATCCAGCGACATGGCCGACAACACCGTGTTCATCACCTTCACCACGGGTTCCTTCTTAGGATCCGCCGTGGATATAAACACATCCACCGCTGGCATCTTATCATCCCTTGGAAGATTCTCCCGCACCACCGTCCGGACCACTGGCCGCCACCGGAATGCTTGCGTTAATACCCAAATGAACGTGAATATCATCTCAGAAATCGTAATAAACGTCCACGAAATAAAAGGTACACTTCCATGCACGAGATTCGAAATTCTGTAATAAAGTATGGCTGAAATGGCTATCGAGTGAAAAAGCATATGAACCCTACTGAGAATGGCACGCCGCCTCTGAATTTCACACGTGTGAAGAGGACGGCCTGCCATTTTTCTGCCTGCAGTTAAACCGTAGCTGGCATGAAGCGCACTGGTACCCATTTTTGGTTTCTGAGAGCCTTTTTTTGGCAGTATAATTGATCATTTTGGTTTAAATAGGCTTATTTTAGAGCTAAAAAAAAAATTTGGGAACATTTTAATTTCAGCCTTGTTAATATACTTTGGTTTCATCTGCTTCGAGAACTGCTTACGGAATCTTTTGTAATAAAAAAGTATTAAAGGGGGTGTTTGATGCACATTATTGAGGAAATAATGTATTTTAAATAGTGATGTGAAGGAAAAAATGTGATTAAAAAATAAATAAAAGTTTTGGATGTGATGTAAAATATTTATTGAAAAATATGTGATTGTAAATGAGTTTTTGAAATAATGTGGATTAAACAGGAGTTAAATTATTATTTTTTTAGGGAAAATTGCAGTCACTGTATCAAATCTTTAAAAAACTCGTACTCAAAATCTAAATGAATGGAAACTGTTAATTCATCTGTTAGTTGACACAAAGTCAACGATTTGATCAAAATTTGACAATTTTCCAAAAGGTAAAACAGTAACTTTACATTTTTCAAATAAAAAAAATATAATGAAAGACTTAGGGCCTGTTTGGTACAAATTCTCATTTTCTACGGTAAATCAATTCTCATTTTCAACTACACATTCTTCAATAAAATAATGTTTTACATCACATCAATACTTTTTCTTCTTTTTCAACCACACATTTTCAATCATATCACTATTCAAAAATCAATTCTTCCCCCAAAAATCCCTATCAAACACACTCTTAAATAAAAAAACAAAATCAAAATCAAAGTAAAAAATTTATCTTCTTCCACCCACCCCCCCCAAAACCAAAAAAACAACCGTATCCACCAAAATCGTCGACACCACCACTCCACCACTACTACTTTCTTCACCACAAAAAGTTATCTTCTGTCGTCACCTCCTTATCTCTTGTCACAATCGGCACCGCAGCCTACCGCCACAATTAGGCAAGCAAGAAATGGGACTGCAAGTGGGATCTGCGAAAAGTGATTTTGTGTGAATATATATTCCATTTGGGAGTGGCCGTAGAATCTACCAAGGGATTAGTTTTGCAACGGGGTTAATTGAATTTGTGTTAGCAAATGTTTTGCACAAATTTGATTGGGAACATCCTGATGGAGCAAAAGGGGAAAACTTGGACATTACCGAACAATGAGGTCTCATAATTGGTAGAAAAAAATCCACTCGCTGTTATTCCTAGTGATTTCTAAATTAATTTGTCTTCAAGTATTCTTTGGGTAAGATTCTCGACCACTCCCAAACTAAAGCCCAGCAAATAAGATTTGATTTTGTTCACGCCATTTTCTCTGAAATATTTGGCAAACGTTAGTTATATGTCTATGTGTGGATTTGGCATCTTGAGGAATTTGCGTAAATTTTGTTAAATTGTTTTGGTTTGAGCAGCTTAATGAATTTTTTTTTCCTTCCTTTGGACTTTAAAGTTGATTGCAATTCGTTGAGGTTGCTAACCATGGCTTTTATTGCAGAGGCAGCGGTGACGGCGTTGTGGATGGTGGTGGTGGTCGGCAGTGGGTGGTTTCTGGTTTTTGGTTTTAGGGTGGGTGGGGTGTGTGAGAGGTGAGTAGAGAAGATGAATAGTATTTTTCTTTTTTGGTTTTTTATTTAATTCTTTTATTTTATTTCTTTTTAATGAAAATGACACTTTAAAAATTGTCAAAATATGGTCAAATCTTTGACATTAGGTCAACTAAAAGACGAACTAACAGTTTCCATCCATTTAGACTCCGAATGCGAATATTGTAAAGATTTTATCCCATAATGATACAAATGAAAGGTTTAGGTCAAGTCTGCAGCAAAATGAAAAGTTTGGTACCATGACTGTAATTTTCTCTATTTTTTC